ACATAAATCAGTGGCTTTGAGACCCATCATTCACGATAAGAACGAAAAGAGCAAAAAAAAATTGCATTTGTTTTGGTAAATAATTCGAGAAACTGGGAGAACTGCTACGCGTTCAAAATCCTGCCGCACATTTGTCCTTCAATACGTCGCCTAGTACGTGGCCTGCTCCAGAGCGTACATCTTTCCATGAGTTCCCTTGCCTCCTCTACGTATATACGACCGTCCCCAGAGTGTGGGCTTTCGTGAGATTTTTCTCATCGAAAACTGAATTTTTGTATGAAGCTTTGTGCCTTATCTCCTCCAATTCAAAAATGATGTATTCTATTGGGAGAATATGCAAGAGTTCTCCGCGAGCGATACCTTCAGGAGACCAAAACCGATCAGATGGCCAAGTCGAGCCATGAAAAAGCTAAAGAATCTGTGCCTTTTCGCTTGTCAAACTACCCTCCAAGCAACCAGTTTAGCGCCACCAAGTTAGGGGAAATCCATTTACCCTTGGTGAAAGGCTCTTTCTCATGCGACGTCAGGGTCACGGCGTGAACCATTGAGGGATAGAGGCTTCGTCTAAGCTGTTGGGACTCCAGAACATGTGAGAATGGCTCAATCCACGCCAGTGCTCTTCTGCTCCTTGGCTTAGGTTTAGGCTCTTGGTTAAGGTTGCCGTGGAGGTTACCGAAACCTCGACAAAATAAAGGAGAAACCCCCTAGTTCATTGAACAACTTTTTCTACGCTAGCTAGCATTATACTTTGGTGCACGTTCAAGAATGTTAACTGATAAAAATGACTACTCTGGAAATTTCTTCGGAAGCATCGTCATTCGCATCACCCTACTGTCACATATTTATGAGGAGCTGATTCTTCTTGTTTACTTCCGGATGTTGTTGTTGTTTACATAGTGGGCAACAGGGCGCATAGGGAATACAAAGAAGAATCGTTTTTCAGCAAGTTATGACATGGAATGCTAATGTCTCAAGTTGTTGTCTATTCGAGATGAAAGGGTTTACCCTTGGAATAAGATATTGCCGGCAAAATAGGTCAAGGACCTGAAACCCCCTCGATTGCCTGGGTACGATATGAACTTCCACTTTATCAAGCATCTGACAGCATGAAGAGCTGCTCAGATTCAGCAAGTCCTGATTCCCGATCCAACTTGGAGCACCTATTTTTGAAGGAGGGTATGCGGCAAGAACGGATAGGCAGGGGACAGCTGTTTTCTAGATTTAAGTCAGGAGAAACCAGGGATTTGAGCCAGTGTGAACCGTTCGCTGGGGTTCTCGCAGTGCAAGCTTAACGGTCAGGGGTCGTATTTCTGGTGGGACATAGGGAGAAGCAGCTTTTTGGGAGTAAAATGAGAGTTTAGCCGTTTAGACACTCACGCCTACCTCAAGATAAAGGCGCTTTAGGAGTTTTGTCTGGAGGGTTTCAAAGTGTGTTAAGATGAATCTTCCAAGATAAAGGGGATACCATTGATCATGAGAGGCAAGAGTCCCTCGAAGGATGTCTTCGAACAGAAAAGCTCGTTTAAATTTCATGTTTAACCTTGATGTGCATTAGTGTATACGCTAGTTGTAGAGCGCAAAAAAATTGTTCACGTCTTGCCTTTATGCTACAAAGATACCTTAGTAACTCTCTAACTATGCGGTGGATCGGAGTTGACACTGCACCCATAGTCTTGAGCTGCAGAATGACTCCTTCGCCTCTTCCGTTCAATTTTCTTAGTAAATTGAGTTTTCTAATTCATTTTTGTTTTCAGCTAATCAACCGCTCCCACCAATTTCCTTCTAGAAAGATGAGAAAACATTTTCAGGAAATCAATCCGCCGTGCAGGGTTTCCGTGCTCGTCCACTTCTTCCAGCACGTACTGAGGCGTTTTACCGTTACGAGGGAAGCCTTACCACCCCCAATTGCGATGAGGCCGTCATATGGACTGTTCTTGCAGAGCCGATCACAATAACACGATCACAGGTCAGCACCGTACGACTTTTAGAAGTTTAAAGACCAGGGAGAGAAGTCCATTTTTCCATGCTCGGTTCTTTGGAGCAACAAACTTAGATAGCATTGTTGGTGTAACAAGATTGCCGAAATAAAATGAGAAGAAGAAACAAAGCAAACCGCCGATGGAACCATCAACAAGTATCCCTTACTCGCCCTGGAATGAGTGATGGGCGTGTTCAGACGAGTTGCCTAGGCTTGCTTGCTCCACGGCACCGCTAACCCGCGCATATGAAATAGCCGCTACACCGCTGCGTATCACCAGGTGTTCGTGAGGCATTTCATCCGTAAGTTTACACCAGTCTCCAGATCACTTTGTAAGGCCCTAGCGCCACTGTCAGCACTTCGAGCCGCGACAACGGCACATCTGTGATACTCGTGGGCTACTCTATCCCACCCACAGAATAGATTTTTCGACACGACCTCTGCTGGGGTTGTTGTTTTGAACTGCAGGAAAGGTGCGAAATGGTGCAACAATGAACAAGCCATTACAAAAAAGGAATAATCTTGTGAAAAGCCGTAGATCCTGAACAAGTTTACGACCTGACATGGCCGTTTGAGCAGGGATATCTTAGCAAAATAGGGAAGATTGCGAGACGACTGTTATCGTATTTACGAGATGATAATCGAACAATAAAGATAGTACTATCGCCCGCTCCAACAACCACACCCGGATGTGCTTCACGTTCTTTAGGTTGGGAACCTAAGCGCGTTGTAGCAAGCGACATTTCACAGCAAAAAGGCAACACGACCTTTTTTGCTGCCTGGCTACCTCTCCCGCTGTCGCATATGTTTCCCTGGTGCAGGTCTACTTTACTGTACTCCCTGCCTTTAAGTACCATTATGCCGTCGCTGCAATCCTAACACATTCGGTGGAATCTATCCTAACCTGGGCAGCCCCGCCCACAAGGTAGCCCGATAGCGATATTGTGCGTAAAAAGACACAGACGTACATAAAAGCTCTACCGAATAAATATCTGTAACTATCGATTTTACTTTTATTCCGTTTCATTTTTCAATGAGATCTCTCAAAGCATTCGGTTTAGATGAAGCAGCTCGTCAAATTCACGCATCAGACGGCGAGCGTCATTCGCTCAATTTTCGACCTGTGCAGCCATTGAACGGCAGACGAATACTCTACAGACCAAGTTCATTCGACAAAAAAGTGCTTTGTGGTGGCGGACAGACGCTTACCATTTTGACCAGTT